AGCTGGCTTGTCCACGAACAAGTTGAGGATGAGGCCTTTAATTTTTTCCGTACCCTAGTAAAATGGACAAGATAAAGTACACCTAAACAAAAACATACAGATAAAAATGAAAAGCATAATTCTTATTGTTTTCTCCCTTAACACATGTAAGACATCCTCATGACACCACAGTCTGCTGCGTTTTCCTGGTTCATCGTATGATTCTTGGCATATAATTTCTCTTCCCATGTCTTGAAGCAACTGGTGCATCTCTAGCTTCTTGTTCTCATTGGCTGTTAGGAGAAATCTGTCCATAAGAATTCGAAGCCCATCTTTCGTGGGGTAACCACAACCGTCCCGTATCGTGATCACGTAATCTATGTCCTTCCCAACAAAGAAACATACAATATCAAGAAATAAGTTTTTGTAGTGGATATCTAGCAAAGAATCATAGCTTATTCTGAGTACTTGGAGGATGTCAGAGTTCGGAATGACTTCTATTCTCTTCATTGCACTTTCCCATTCATCCACCCTTTTCCCAGATAAGTAAGAACCCATCACTTCTACACCTAAAGGCATCCCCCCACAGCGGTGTGCTACTTTTCTTGAATGCTCAACAAGGCCTTCAACTGGTTCATCTTGGCCAAAAGCATGCAAATTGAAAAGCCTAAACGACTTTTCACTATCAAGCTTCCTAATCTCAAGCACCTTATAAATATCATGAGCCTTTAGGAGTTGCTTTTGCCTGGTAGTTATGATAATTTTACTTCCCGGGTAAAAACCGTCTCGCGCTGCTAGTATATTATTCAATTGGTCTATTCGGTCTGCATCATCTAAAATTATAAGAACTCTTTTGCAACCAATGCTGTCTTTAATCTTGGTGATTCCTTCATCAACATTCCAAATTTCGACACATTTGCCCTTCAGTATTTCTGAGAGTAGTTGTTTTTGTAAATGAATGAGCCCATTAGGTTGCGCTTAAACTTCTCTGATGTTTGCTAGAAAACTACTACCCTCAAATCTTTCAAAGTGCAAATTATAAACATATTTGGCAATGGTCGTCTTTCCCATTCCCCCCATCCCACAGATTACCAAAATGTTACTATAAACTGACTCATCTTGTAACCACAAATTGATTTCATTGGCTTGGGAATCTATTCCAACTATGTATGAGGGAAGGCTTAGAATTGTGCGGCTCAGTTTGTTGCTAACTTCTGCAACAATTTCTTGGATAAAATTTCCCTCAAACCTGTAGATTTCGAATCAATATGAAATGTAAATCACACTATGCATGCACAACTAGAGATGCAGTGCAAATTCCCATGCAAATACAAAATAGGAAGACAAGTAAGACATTATTAGGCAAAGAATGGTACGAATAGAAAGACAAAAGAATTTGAATTTCAACTAGAAGTATATAGAAATACAGAAGAAAGGAAAAGACATTGATCGCCTATCTAAAATAACTAATAACTATTTGTAAGAGCAACTAGGGCGACAAGAGGTCCTTATATTCGACAATTATCATCTATACATTTTTCAAACTACTGCTCATCTTTATTTTTTATTTTTTACTTTAGTGATTATATTTTTGAAGTGGTCTAAGTCATATATTACACCTTGAACCCAAAGTTATAACAGTTCCTGCACAAAAAATCCAACTATCTGCCATTTTTGCCCTAGACTTCTAGTTCAAATTGAGAACAACGCAACCCTTCCATTTGTTTGGTTGTATGTACCAATTCGCTTTATTCATGGTTTCATATGCTGCTTTTATCTTGGGCGAAAGGATAGAACCTAGGATGTCATAGTCATCAGAGACTCAGAGGTGACAGTTTACTAGCAGGATAGAAACAAGGTTCTCTACTTTTATTTTATTTGAATAAAAAGCGTGTCATGTTGAAGGGCTCAACCAACTCCATACCCAGCGTATATACTAGCAAAGTCACTTCAAGTAAGTTATGTACGCAAGCTTCTAACAGGATACTGTGTGAATGAAGACAAATAATTGATAACTGGTCCTTCATGAACAGAAAATCCATACACTTTGAGTAATGAAAAATGGTTATTTTCTCCTATGACACACGATTTGTTCCTTTATGTTATAGCTTCATGCTAATTCTAGCTATTCCGCCCATTTAAATGATTCAATCCTGCAAATACCCTGGGGACTCGCTAAATGAAGACAAACCAGTTCCTGATAATGCAATTAGATCCTCTAGTTTTGTTTCCCAAAGAGGAACCTCTAAACATAATAGAAATGGGATTTCTATTAGGTACGAACATATAAATCATAGTTATCATAATTTAATGCATTATTCACATAATCATCGGCGACATAGATAATCCAAACCAAACATATTTATCCAAACCAAACATTTAATCAATTCTAATAAATTTTTATGTTCCATTTTTGAAAAATAAATTTTTATGTTCAACCTCACAGTTGGGATTCAATAGACAACTAAAAAGCCCTTATATTGACATATGGCCCTTGACACATAATTGAATGGCGCAAAAAGATTCATTTTAATCTACCGAAAACAACTGGCACAAATTTTTTTTTTTTTGGTTTCTTAGTTTGGTTTAAAACCATACATTGAGTACCGGAACCACCATTACCGTTAAGTGTCACATGAGGGCTTCGCAATAAAAGAATCAAATGACCTTAGAGGCTAGGAAATCTTTGGCGAGATGGTGCCTAGAAAGGATAATGAGCAACTTACTTACCTCCCAATTCCATCCCTGCCAAATTTGCAGCTTCTGTAAGAGCTGCCTTCCACTTTTCTACCTGGGCCATAGCATCCTTTTTCTTTTCAGACATCTCTGTCTTGAGCTGCTCTCCATGTCTTGCAAATGGTTTTGCAAAGCTTCCCACCTGTTTTCTAACTTCTGATTGATCCACATGGTAGAAGATGGGAAGAATTATATGACTACCAGTATTCTTGTGTTCAAGGATCATAACAAGTTCATCGAGGCACCATCTTGAAGATGCATAATTTTTTGAGAAGACAACTATTGATATCTTCGACTCCTCAATTGCCTTCTGTAGTTCTAAACCAATATCCTCTCCTCTCTCAATTCCATCATCATCCTTAAAGGTGCGAATCGTGAATTCACTAAAGCTTTGTAAAGGTGATCAATGAAGGTCTTGCGAATGTCGTCACCTCTGAAACTTAAGAACACTTGATAACGAAAACACGATATGGATGAGGAAGCTTCTTTGGGTCTCAGAGCAGCCATAATAAAAAGCTACACGAGATAGAAGAATGTGTAGCCTGTGAAGGCACAAGGAAAATATGCTTAAATTGTGAATAAAAAATAATTAAGGAACAGTTAAAAACATAAATAATTAAGGCACATGGAACATATGCATAAAATGTGAATAAATGTGCAGTTGCTGATTTTTAGGAAATTCTGCCAATTCAGTGACTTGCTAAAAAATTAATATCAAGCAGTCTGTAAACTGTCTACTAATAGGGAAGAAATTTCAGACTTTGGAAAGCTAGGGATGGCCACATCTCCTTACGGTGCTATAACAATCTACTGATGAGTAACAGGGGATAAAAAAACCAATCTTGAATAGCCAGTGGACCCTTGATATTTGTAAAGCCCTTAAAGTAACTGGCAAATATTTAGAAAAGGCTTCCCAACAGTCGTATAATTTGGATAGTGTGGGTACATAATGAAATAAGGGTTTAATTCAACAACTTCCCTCCAGTGGAAGCTCAGAAGAAATTGGCCATCTCCTTATGCAGTACAAATACAGAAAATGCCTACAAAGTATAATCTAAGAAAGAGCAAAGTGGTGGACTGCCTATTATGCCTACTTTACTTATAGGAGGAGGAATTTTCAGGATAGCTTATGCTTGTTCAGCTCTTGTACCAAAGGTATAGGGCTGACACACAGTGGGCTACATCAGCAACTCAAGAAAGGCACGTCGTAGTATAAGAGTGGTGGCTATCAGTACAAAAACAAAGTCAAACTTAGCCCCAAATTGTTTCTAAGACCATGCATAAAATCATTTCGACTATAACTGACAAAAAGTTTAGTTTTTTTGTCTTCAAATCAAAACAGAAATGCAAGGTTGTTTTCAAAGATAAGCTCCCAAAACTCTCAAAAGATGCCGCAGTACCACTACCAAATTACCACTTTTTCCCACAACATAAGACATTCCCAACTGAAAGGGGCAAACCCCCAATTTTGCTGCTATAACTAGATATCTTGCAGTTCCAGTCCAAACCTAAAGGGGGCAAATCTATAAACAGAAAGCTAATCAAACAGAAACATGGAAAGAGCAGATCCATCTGGTGCTGAAGAAAGACTAATCTTTTACCAAGTCAACAATATTGGTCAACTCAACAAGAGCAAACAAATCAAAATCAAACCTAGTTTCCAATTCATGAACAACTTCTACGTCCATTGTTTCAGCTAATTCAGAGTTGATAAGAATTCACAAAAGGATCACCACAAATGAATAAAAAAGAATCAGAAGATAACAAAAAAACATTCATATAGAATTCCATGTAACCCATTCTACAATTAATTGTGATTGTGAGTCTCACCTGAATTTGCTGATGGAAAGATCCTAAAAGAGTTCAGAGATTCTTCTCTCAGCAAGATCACCAATTGACGAAGAAATATTGCACAATTAGTTCAGAGAACGCGAGAACTTAAGGATTCTTTTCCCCGTTGTATAAAGTAGATGACTTGATGATAAATAAATAAAAAAAGACCTTGACTTGACCATAAAATTGATAAAATAAATAAATAAAGATCCTGACTTGACCATAAAATTGATAAAATAATTTCCAATTCATGAACTGGTTCTCGTCGGGTCTGGCTCTTCTGTGGTAAGGGGATTACCGGATGTCTTGCGGTTTAATAATACGGTACTGTTTTGGGTGTTTTTTGTAATTTTTTTTTTAATAACCCTTGCCAAAAACGATATCGTTTTTGGTCCTTCAAATCCTTCGGCTCCTCCATACTGTGGTTGCCTCCTCTCTATCTGAAATCCTATTTACTTCTTCGTCTTCAAGCCCAAGGAACCAAAAATTTCCTGTGGCGGCGAAGGCAACAACAACGGCAGTGGCAGCGAATGGGATATTGATGTCGTGGGTAGGTGATGGAGTTGGGGTGGGGGTGGGACCCAACTCTCTAATTTATTCCACAAAGCAGACTCTTCCAAAACCTTTGATTTTGATCCCTTCACATTATCAGAACTCGCGCTATTCTCCCGTACATTATGATTAGCTGAATTTGATTGAAAACTATTGATGTCATCAAAATGATGAACTGGGCTTCGAAAATCCGGACTTGGGTCGTTAGTTTGAGGATTGTGACGCACCTGTTGTTGTTCTCGTTGTTGTTCATTGTGCTTTTTTTCATAGAGTTTTGATGGGTTGTGGGTCGGCCAAAATGAGCAGAAATTTGGAATTTTCTGGAACTAGAAAGGCATAGATATAGTGAAAATAGTGACTGTAGAGGCAATTTGGATTTGGGTATGCTGACTCTTGATGGGTTTTTCTTACCCCATGCCGTGGAGGGAAATTTAGGAGAAGAATATTGGAATTCGAGAGAGAATATTAGGGCTGGTAGGGATTTTGGGGTTGAGGACCTCCATAGTTGCCGAAGGAATTCACATGGAGAGAGAGAGAGAGAGAGAGAGAGAGAGAAGGCTTTGGTGCAGAGTCGAAGGATTTGAAGGTGCCAAAAACGACGTCGTTTTTGGCAAGGGCAATTAAAAAAAAAATTGCAAAAAGCACCCAAAACGGTGTCGTATTATTAAACCGCATGACATGCGGTAACCCCCTTACCACAGAGGAGTTCTTGTCTGCTTGTCAGTTACTAAGAAGCTTCCTATGTTCACAATATACACAAACTATTGCATTATGAACTCGATGAACAAATCAACCCGCGTAGTCTAGTGACCAGCACTGTCCCGTTCAATGTCTTTTTTTAACTCTCATCTCATGCTTACCAGCATCTAGTGTTCGATTCACCGGGACCCATTTAGGAGTACAATTTGGGTGGGCTAACCCGAATTCAACCCCAAAAAAATAAGATTTGAGTTAAATTTTTTAATACTTGGGTTGCTCTTAGACAAAAAACCAACTCAAATTGAATTCAGGCAAGTCTTAGGTTGAAGCCTCGAGTTGTCGGGTTGAACCCGAATATATATAAATATATTTAATTAGGGTTAGTATTTGATGATGTGTCTAGCATAATGAAGCAGAGGTGGGGAATTAATGAGCACTAAGTAATTCAATCTGAGCTTCTAGACTCTTGAGAATTGGACCAAGGAAATGAGATTAATAGACAGAAGGTTTATAATGATTCACCAACTTGGGGACTAAGCTAATCCACTTTCAAGAGAGTCTCTTGCTCCTGGGGGAATGTATTAATAATGGGGGATTTACACAGAGTTATCTAATTAGGCTACAATCACTTGTCTGTATTACTGGGGGTTATGCCCCTTATTTATAGTTGGCTCTTAACTTCGCGTGATCCTTGGCATGATCATTGTTTCTCCTTGTAATGGTTGCTACTATCTTGCAACGGTCATAGTGAGTGTTGGGGCAATTGCGATTCTTATGTCTGTATAAGCGATCGTTGCTATCAAGGTGGTGCTTGGCGAAAGTTAGTTGTCTTTTATGTTGCCCTCCTTGAGAGGCAGGTGCAGGGAGCTCGAGGTCTGAACTCGAGATCCATGGGCAACTAAAGCGAAACTGAGCTCCCGATCTAAGAGAGAATGACTCAAATTACCGAACTCAACCTTAGGCATATTCAAGGTACCATCAGTTGTCCCCCGGCCCATAGTCAGGCAGAGTTATATGAGCTGGGACTGAGTTCTGACTTGGGTGAGCGAGGTTGTCTGGGATTGACCATGAAATTTGAACAATGGGACGTTTTTCGACTGTTATGGCAAACGTGCACTCATTTTTTTCTCGTTTTTTGTGCACGTCCCTTATCTTTACGGCTCCACATGTCCGTCTGTACGCTAGCCTTAAATACATTTATCAGATGAAACCACCTTCTTCAGCATTTCAAACTCTCTTCGTCTTCTCTCTGTCCAGATTCTTCCCTCTTCCATTTCCTTTGCAATTTCGTCTTCCCCAATTCACCAGTGATCCAAGTTTTTGCTGGCAATTTCCCAAAACTCATTCCGAATATTCTACGAGGCTAGCTTAGTCTGTTCCTTGGATCCCTCTTGGGTCTTTGATTGTTGCTCGACTCCAGCTAGGTACGTCATTCGCTCTGCACTTGTCCTTCTTTTTAAGTTTCCATTCGCTCTAGATCCCTCGAATTCGAGGTGGTTGTTTAACTTCTGAATTTTTCGCTTGTGTTACTTTTAAGAATTGAGGTTGTTCCTTGTTCTCCCTTCCTCTTTTTTTGGACCCTTATTTTACTACTAGGATTTTTCTTTTTGGTCTCTGGTGTCTTGACCCTTTAGGCCTCAAGGATTTTTTTTTCTAGTGTTCTTCCCCTCTACACCTCTTTTAATCTTCCTTTCTCATACCCAACTATTTATGTCTCTTCTAAAGCCACTACTTCATCTGTCTCCTTTGCCATGGGCAACAGGTCTTCTAAACTAGATGAGGATGACCTGAAGGATATGGGAGATGAGATAGACAATTTTCCTAGTGTCAATTCTATTAATGTTGGGGATGAGGTAGAGGTCCCTATATCGTTGTTCCGTCCTGTTCCAAGATCTAAGAAGTTTCAAAAAGGGAAATCCAAGATGAGTGAGGTTGAGATTTTTGTTAGTGTGGGGGACATAAAGGTTGCTCCCAGAGCCTCAAACCTCGTGGGTTTTAGCAAGGTTACCCCTCTTTTTCTGAGTGTCCTTTCTGCTTGGTTTGGTTTCCCAAGGGGTATGCAATATTGGTCTCCAAATGTGAATATTCGGTATGACACCATAGTCCTAGAGAAAGTTTGTTTCTTCGTGGCTTCTTTCGAGAATGACCTCCAGTTTCCTATTCATCCTTTCCTCAAGAATATTCTTCAACATTTCAACGTTTGCCCTGCTAAGTTTTCTCCCAATTTTTGGGGTCTTCTGATTTTTTCAAGAAGAACAAGCTTGGTGTCCCTATGATACATTTTCTTATAAAGTTCTTTAACATCAAGGTTAGGACTGTCAATTTTTGACACGACACGTTAACACGACATGAACCGAACACGAAATTAAACGACTTAATAGGTTAAAACGAGTCAACACGCTTAAACACGAAAAAAATTCATGTTAAGTTAATGTCAAAATCAGGTCAACCTGATTTTGACCTAATTAACTCGTTTATTTTAAATGGGTTGATATGATTCAGACACGAACCTGACCTAACCCATTGTAGACCCGTTTATGACACTATAATTTGTGTATTATATATGACTGATGTGGTATTAATATTATTATTTATTAATTTTTATTTCTATTATTGTAATTGACAATATAGTTCATAATATTAATATGACAGTATACTAATATAGTTTTTGACATAATTTTTGGGTTGAAACTTGAATGTATTTTATTTAATTTCATTGATAAGATGTGATTGTTATTTGCAAAAAAAATTATTTGTAATTTTAGATGAATGATTTAATGATGTATTTAATAGCAATGAACAAGTGTAAAAATATGTTATGTGTGTTAAACATGTCGGTATTATGTGTGGTAAACAGATCAAAATAACATGTATATTAACCCGAAAACAACCTGTTTATTAAACGTGTCAAACAGGTCAGGTTCGAGTAACCTGTGTAATAGTCAGGTCAGGCTAGTATTTACACATCTCGACATGATTATTAAACATGTCAGGTTCATGTTTTGGGATTTTTGACACAAATTCGAAACCAACCCAACACGAAATGATCCAACCCGATATGCTTGACACCCCTAATCAAGGTCACTCCTTTTGATGACTTTCTATATATTGCCAAACGGGTGAAAACAATTTTGAGAAGTAGAAACTTCACACACACCTTTCTTTACCCAAAGAATATAAACTTTCTTTTTTTTTTGTCACTCACACAATAAAACATATATATAGGTGTATGAAATATATAACTCATTGCCCAAAATAATTGACCCATTAACTCATTATCATAAAACTCAATTATTTTGGTCTTTGTAATTTATTGACCAAATTCAATAGAATGCTCACCAAATCATTCTCACAATGAATATATATAACATATGTAATTTATGGACCACTAAATTTCAACATTATAATTCTCATTATATAGATACTAATGGTTAAACTTGTAACTCATATGACTTATAAAGATATAAATAAATTTGTATGATCAAGTCAAAATGAAGATACAAATAAAGGTGAAATTATTGCAATATAAATTAGATAAATAATAAAGACTACTTTAATTTTATTAAAATATTCCAACAGTAATGAAGATGGCTTGAAGAATTCATCTCCATTTGCTACTTCGCTGCCTTTGAAGAAGACACTCTATGAATCGGTGAAGCAGAAAGGAAATCCTGCATTTCTTGGAAAGATACTAATGGAATATTCCAGCTAGCTATCACTGAATAAACCCAGAACATGGGAGATGAAATAGTCGAATTCTATGCAGAAAGATGAATAATGGTGGCATTCAGATATCCAATGGATATATTCACATCACACAAGGATTAATTTGACATTTTAATTTTATTGAGGGGAAAAATAAGAAAACAAAAAATTTTCATGTTAAAAGACTTTTAGAAGTAATGTAAGTATAGAAAAGAAAAACCAACATGGTCTCTGCTCATTGATTACAACTTCACAGTCATTAGTTAGAACACTTTTAGCAAAGCCAAAGAATGTTGAGGAACAATGGATACAAGAATGAGCTCCTTCTTCCTCATCAAAATGTGAGAACATGTCATCAATATGCCACCGACTATTCAAACCCTTCTGTCTTCCTCCTCTCCCTCTCCCTCTCCCTCCCTCCCTAGCAGCTTTACAATTAAAGGTGCTATTGTTCGAACAAATTTTGTCTCCCTCTCCCTCTCCCTCTCCCTCTCCCTCTCCCTCTCCCTCTCCCTCCCTCCCTAGCAGCTTTACAATTAAAGGTGTTATTGTTCGAACAAATTTTGTCTCCCTTACATCAGCATTATTCCAACAACTGTGATAATTGGTTAAGAAGTAGCAGTACGGTGTTATCTGGTATCGTGACACATCAATGGCACTACCATGAGTATCATGGGGGGTGTTTTGTTGCCTACCTTGCTCTTCTGGGTCATACACAATCTGGATTTCAACATATGAGCTCACATCAAAGTTATGAAACACCTGGACAACCACGTCATCTTCAGCTTCCATCTGACCACCCTCAAATTTCCAATGGCTTAACCATGCGATGTGTGTATCAGTGTCATCGTCTGGAATTCCTAAAAATGTTGGGCAGTAATACCAATCCAAACCCAGGGATGTGTTACTCACTACAATTTGAAAAAATGTTAAATTGAATTCCATAAAATTTGGTGATGGAACTTTGCTTGAATAGACAACACATATGTTCAAGCCACAGATTTTGAGGTTGAGAACTGAAGGCACTCTAAAAGATATTGAGGCGTACTGATCCCCATCAAGGGCCGGAGGGAACTCACCACCACCTAACAAAAGCTGTGAGAACCCCATTTTTTTGTTAGTCCTGAACCATTCTAGAGCCACACTCCCTGGAAGAAAAATGCTGAATATGCCACATTCGTATAATCCCTGTGCCATCAAAGTCATAATATTGAGAGAGAGAGAGAGAGAACCTGTAGTGGATAAAACTTGATTATATTGGTCATCTTATTTAATAATTTCACCTTCAGGCTCTTGATGGACTCCAACTCAACCAATCCCAAATTGTTGAGTATTTCTGCATCAAAATTTCCAACGGAATCCAACTTGTACAATCCCTTAACCTCGTCTAATTTCTCACATCCGCCAACACGCAAGTCTAGAGGTTTGTGACATGACAGTAGGTTGGGTAGATTTGTCATCATTTCCAATGACTTACATTGCGATACATATAGAAAACCTAAGCTCATTGGTAGCTCTGGAAGTGATTGGAGATTCTGTAATCCCCTAAAATAAGGTGCGTGAGCTTAGTAAGATCCTTTATGCTCTCTGGCGAAGTAAAAATTGGATTTCCTGCTAGATCTAAAAACTGCAATGAGGGCAGACTACTAAGATCCTTGGGGAAAGAATTATCATCTATATTGCATCCAATAAGGCTTAACAATGTCAAGGATTGTGGTAAAGAACAAAATGAAATTTCTGGACTTTTTGTAAGTTTGTATACCCAAGGCCAGATTGCATACCATGCTTTAACCTCTGCAGTTTTGGAATATGATACATTCATTCCATCTACATTTAGGTATATCAAAGATTCCATCTTCCACAGCTCTGCAGGCAACTCTTTCAGCTTGGAGCAACCAGAGAGATTGAGTTCTTTAAGGGAATGTAGGTTGCCAATTTTCTCAGGAAGTTTCCTAATGTTTTTGCACCCACTTAAATTCAAGACAGCAAGTCTCCTCAATTCTCCAATAGATTCATGGACCTCCACCAAATTTGTGCAATTTTCAAGAATTGCTTGCTCAAGATTAGGGACAGCCAAGAAGTCAGGGGTCTTGTACAGGCAATGGGAATGACTGAGATTTAGTGTTTTTAATAATCTGAGCGACTTGAACCAAAAGGAAGATATTAGTTTCTCAAGATATGTCAATCACTAAAACATTGAAGGGGAGAAGATGGAAGGCAATTATTATACCTTAGTTTTCTTCCAAACTTGTTCCAAACTGCAATAGGGCATTTCAAGAACAACTAGGCTCTCTAGAGGAAAGTCATTGGGTATTGATCGTGTAGGGAACCCATGCCAAAATAACCATACTATCTTCTTAGGAAATTCTTTGTAGCTTCCAATTTGCCGTATATTATAGAGCTGCAATAGTCTTAATTTGCGCATCCCTGAAAATGAAGCAGTTTGAAAGCTTTCTTCGTCTGATATGGGCAACAGCTTGGTTAAGGAAGAGAGGATCCCAGAGAACACGTCAATACGATGTCGTTTAGATGGGTTCCCAGAATGTACTATTGATCCATCAAGAAAATCTTCAGAATGTTGTCTATTTCCATCACTTGGACTGGAGAATGTATGAGCTGGCTTGTCCACGAACAAGTTGAGGATGAGGCCTTTAATTTTTTCCGTACCCTAGTAAAATGGACAAGATAAAGTACACCTAAACAAAAACATACAGATAAAAATGAAAAGCATAATTCTTACTTTTTTCTCTCTTAACACATCAAAGACATCCTCATGATGCCAAAGTCTGCTGCGTTTTCCTGGTTCATCGTATGATTCTTGGCATATAATTTCTCTTTCGATGTCTTGAAGCAACTAGTGCATCTCTAGCTTCTCGTTCTCATTGGCTGTTAGGAGAGAGCTGTCCATAAGAATTTGAAGCCCATCTTTCATGGCGTAACCACAACCGTCCAGTATCGTGATCACATAATCTTTGTCCTTCCCAACAAAGAAACATACAATATCAAGAAATAAGTTTTTGTAGTGGATATCTGGTAAAGAATCATTGCTTATTCTTGAGTACTTGGAGGATTTCATAGTTTGGAATGACTTCTATTCTCTTCAAAGCACCTTTCCATACATCCACGCTTTTCCCATATAAGCAAGAACCCACACTTCTAGAGCTAAAGGCACCCCCCCCCCCCCCCCACAGTAGTGTGCTACTTTTCTTGACTGCTCAACATGACCTTCAACTGGTACATCTTGGCCAAAAGCATGCAAGTTGAAAAGCCTAAACGACTCTTCACTATCAAGCCTCTTAATCTCATGCACCTTATAAATATCATGAGCCTTTAGGCGTTGCTTTTGCCTGGTAGTTATGATAATTTTACTTCCCGGATAAAACCAGTCTCGCGCTGCTAGTATTTTATTCAATTGGTCTATTCGGTCCACATCATCTAGAACTATAAGAACTCTTTTGTAGCCAATGTTGTCTTTAATCTTAGTGATTCCTTCATCAACATTCCAAATTTCGACACATTTGCCCTTTAATATCTGTGAGAGAAGTTGTTTTTGTAAATGAATGAGCCCATTAGGTTATGCCGAAACTTCTCTAATGTTTGCAAGAAAACTACTACCCTCAAATCTTTCAAAGTGCAAATTATAAACATATTTGGCGATGGTCATCTTTCCCATTCCCCCCATCCCACAGATTACCAAAATGTTAATATCAACTGACTCATCGTGTAACCACAAATTTATTTCTTTGACTTGGGAATCTATTCCAACTATGTATCATGGAAGGCTTAGAATTGTGCGTCTCAGTTTGTTGCTAACTTCTTCAACAATTTCTTGGATAAATTTTCCCTCTAGCCTATAGATTTCGAATCAATATGAAATGTAAATCGCACTATGCATGCACAACTGGAGATGCAGTGCAAATTCCCTTGCAAATACAAAATAGAAAGACAAGACATTATTAGGCAAAGAATGGTACGAATAGAAAGACAATAGAATTTGATTTTCAACTAGAAGTATATAGAAATACAGAAGAAAGGAAAAGACATTGATCGCCTATCTAAAATAACTATTTGTAAGAGCAACTAGGGTGACTAGAGGTTCTTATATTTGACAATTATCATCTATACATTTTTCAAACTAGTGCTCATCTTTATTTTTTATTTTTTACTTTAGTGATTGTATTTTAGAAGTGGTCTATGTCATATATTACACCTTGAACTCAAAGTTATAATAGTTCCTCCGCAAAAACGTCCAACTATTTGTCATTTTTGCGTCAGACTTCTAGTTCAAATTGAGAACAAAGCAATTCCTCCACGTGTTTGGTTGTATGTATCAATTCACTTTATCCATGGTTTCATATGTTGCTTTTATCTTGCATCGATGTTACTGACATAAGCAATGGACGAAAGGATCGAACCTAGGATGTCATGGTCATCAGAGACTCAGAGGAGATAGTTTACTAGCGAGATAGAAACAAGGTTCTCTATTTTTATTTTATTTGAATAAAAAGCGTGTCATGTTGAAGTGCTCAACCAACTCCATACCCAACGTATATTCTAGCAAAGTCACTTCAAGTAAGTTATGTACGCAAGCTTCTAAAAGGATACTGGGTGAATGAAGACAAATAACAAATAACTGGTCCATCATGAACGGAAAATCCGTACACTTTGAGTAATGAAAAATGGTTATTTTCTCCTATGACACACGATTTGTTCCTTTATGTTATGGCTTCATGCTAATTCTAGCTATTCCAACCATTTAAATGATTCAATCCAGCAAATACCCTGGGGACTCGCTAAATGAATACAAACTAGTTCCTGATAATACAATTGGATCCTCTATTTTTTTTTTCCTTGAGAGGAACCTCTAAACATAGTAGAAAAGGGATTTCTATTATGCAAGAACATATAAATCGTAGTTATCATAATTTAATGCATTATTCACATAATCCTGCGACTTAGATAATCCAAAGCAAACATATTTATCCAAACCAAACATTTAACAATTCGATTTACAAATCCTGTATTCACCTTTTAATACATTTTTATGTTCCATTTTTGAAAAATAAATTTTTTATGTTCAACCTCACAGTTGGGATTCAATAGACAATTAAAAAGCCCTTATATTGACATATGGCCCTTAACACATAATTGAATTGCGCAAAAAGATTGATTTTAATCTATCGAAAACAACTGGCACAGATTTATTTATTTTTTTGGTTTGTTAGTTTGGTTTAAAACCTTGCATTGAGTACCAGAACCACCATTACCATTAAGTGTCACATGAGGGCTTAGCAATAAAAGAATCAAATGACCTTAGAGGCTAGGAAATCTTGGGTGAGATAGTGCCTAGAAAGGACAATGAGGAACTTACTTATTTCCCAGTACCATCCCTACCAAATTTGCAGCTTCTGTAAGAGCTGCCTTCCACTTCTCTACCCGGGTCATAGCATCCTTTTTCTTTTCAGACATCTCTGGCTTGAGCTGCTCTTCATGTCTTGCAAATGGTTTTGCAAAGCTTCCCAACTGTTTTCTAACTTCTGATGGATCCACATCGTAGAAGATGGGAAGAATTATATGACCACTAATATTCTTGTGTTCAAGGATCATAACAAGTTCATTGAGGCACCAACTTGAAGATGCATAATTTTTTGAGAAGACAACTATTGATATCTTTGACTCCTGAATTGCCTTTTGTAGTTCTAAACCAATATCCTCTCCCCTCTCAATTCCATCATCATCCTTAAAGGTGCGAATTCCTGAATTCACTAAAGCTATGTAAAGGTGATCAATAAAGGTCTTCCGAATGTCTTCACCTCTGAAACTTAAGAATGCATGATAAGGAAAACGCGATATGTATGAGGAAGCTTCTTTGGGTCTCAGAGCAACCATAAAAAAAAGCTACGCGAAATAGGAGAATGTGTATCCTGTGAAGGCACAAGGAAAATATGCTTAAATATTGAATAAAAAATAATTAAGGAACAGTTAAAAACATAAATAATTAAGGCACATGGAACATATGCTTAAAATGTGAATAAATGTGTAGGTGCTGATTTTTAGGAAATTCTGCCAATTTAGTGACTTGTTAAAAAACAAATATCAAGCAGTCTGTA